GTGTACTCAATGAAAAAACAGAGGTCTTTTTTATCTACTCTGCTTAAATGAACTTTGAAAGCGCCACATTTTCTGATTGAACATGTTGTTCAAACTGTTTCGGCTTCGTACTAATTTCACCAATCAGATTCAATAATTTCCGGGCCAAGGTTGTGGTCTTGTGGTCAGACCAATTTTTCGTATTTTAAGACCGTCGCAACTCAAATCTGATGTTTTCAGACCCCTGCGACTGAACTCCCGTATTTCCAGACTTTGCAAAACGAGGAGATGCATCCGCTACCTGCAATTCTTAGCAACATTTTCCTGCGACCGGCGCGACCCAAGAAAAGGTAACCGCGAACGTGGCGACCCTGCATTTTTCTTTGTCTGCAAACTTATAATTTTACCCGGACCCAACAAATGCTTTTAACTGCATAGAAATGTTAAATCGATAATCTTATTGTTCCGACCATTTGAAAAATGGGGAGGAACTTTGTATTCGGGTCGGTTTTAGTTTTTTCTTTTTGTTTTGCACGGAAACTCAGGTACCACAAACAGTCATCTGACTGGGTTGACTATTATATCATATTAAAGCCCTTTCAGTTGTGATACGAATCACATTAAAAAATCCAAAAAAAATCTCCCAATGTTGAGAAAAACCGGTTTGATTTTCGCCTTAAATCGAGCAAATAAAGCAAGCGAGCAGGCTTACAACAGCTAAATTATGCCTAATTTAAAACCTTACAACTCAAATTTAAGCAAGTAAAATTGGTTTTTGGAGTTTTTTTAGCTTCATTTTGGGAACCAATAACTTCAAAAAATTAAATTATTGAGAAATTTTTTTTAAAATTGTTTTTGTATTTCTAGTCATTTTTTCTACTAAAAAATTTGTCCTATTCGCCTTTGTTGCAATAACTGGCTACTGCGCCTAAATTATATTTTTACATCAGATCCTTTTATCAAACCAAGCAGAAGAAAACTAGAATAACTTTCAAAAAAAAACAACTTTCTAAACCTAATTCTCTAAAACCATGGCTGGAACATTTTGTGTTACTTGCACAGTAACCGGCTATCCTTGTTTCAATTGCTGTTTTTTTGTACATGAAATATCTACTTCTCATTGCTGAGACCATTTGAAAAATGTGGAGGAACTTTGTATTAGGGTGTAAGTTAGTTTTTTTTTCTTTTTTTTTCCAGGCAAAATCAGGTACCATAAATAATCAGAATTCGTGATATATCAAATTAAATCATCAAGATATATTAAATTAAAGCTCTTTCCCATGTGATTCGAGCGATATTTAAAATTTTCAAAAAAGTTTCCCAGTGTCGAGAAAAACCTGTTTAAAATTTTGTCGTTTTGGTCTATTTTTGAGCTAATAAGGTGATTGTACAGGCTCATATAAACTTATTTAAGCTTAAATTAAAGCCGTTAAAAGTTAAAATCAATAGAGTAACTCAGTTTTTGGAGTTAATTGGCTTGTTTAACTTTGGTCCGCATTTTCCTAATTTCAGTTTTTTGTTTTCTTTTTGTTTCGAATTTCGATATTTTTATCACCCCACGCAAAACAAAACGACACTATTTTGAAAAAATATATATTTTTATAAGACTGTGATCAGAAAATTCTGTGCTACTTGCACTAACCGGCTATCCTTGTCTTGACCTTTGAATTTGCAATTAAACATCTTTGAAACTAACCAAGAGTTAATTCATATAGTATTGCTTTGATTTTTTTCAGGTTCTGTGGCTTGCCTGTTAACGCGCCTGATTGTCACAAGATTGTGTGTTTGAGCCCGGCCGGGGTTTTATTTTTGCAAGAAAAAGCATAGATTGTTTGATCATTTCTGACAACAAAAAAAAACAGATCAGAATTTGTTAGATCTTATCATTTTTATTTTGTTTTTAGAAAAAAAAAAAAGTTTTCAGATAATAAAGTTTTATTAATTCACAGCTGTGATCAGGAAAAGTTTTGATAGTTAAATTCAAGTAGTACTGTGCTCTTCTCGTTTTATTTCTAAACTTTTGACACAAAACTGAAGAGCACGATTTCAAAGATTACATCAAGTTATTACGCTCAAAAGTTGCAACACTATATAGCAGATTTGATTACACACGCAGTGAGTAATCCTGAACAAAAATTTAGTCTTTTATGTGCAACCATGTGAGATTCTTTACATCCAATCAGCGTGGGACTTAGGATTTTGTAAAATTCTGGATAAAACAAGAGTGTTTGCATTTCGTAATATTTGGTACAAATGTTATATCGGCAAAAAATATCACCTAAAATTTTTTAACTCGCGTAAGAAAAAATGGCTTGATTTAAAGTATCTAAATTTCAAGTTTACATTTTTAAGTTTACCCTCGAAATATCATAATTTTCACTTTGAGACAATAATAATTCAAAAAAGTTTACCGTTTTTGATGTCATAGAAAGAAATGCTTTGAAAACATCGTGCTAGTTGTTTATAGCCGTAACCACAAGAAAAAATTGCTCCCGATAAGTGATTGTTCATAAATTTAATGATCTAGTACTTAAAAACCTAAATGTTAATTATGCCTAAATTTTTCAAAATGAAAAATTTTTAATATGTGTTACTAAATGTGGCCAAGAAAAGCATCAAATTTTAAGATCTAGCGTGAACTGGGATTATCGTCAATTGAAGAAAAATTTAAGTTATGGTCTTTTTTGACAAAAATGGTTTTACGAACATTCGTACAACATTGAAAACACCAGGGACGGACTAGAGGGGGAGGGGAGGCGGGAGTGCGGACGCCTTTTTTCGACCAGGGATTACTTTTTTTGCTCTGGCACAATTGAGTGTATCAAAAAGTACAAAACTATCTTTACTCACATTTCGGCAGGTTTTATCAAAAATACCCATTTCTTGATGCATGTTTGAAATTTATGCATTCTGTAAACTGCCAAAACCAGCAAAGACAAAGTTTCTTTCCACTTTCAGTAGACCGAAAAACAAGTGACTCATTGGGTTTTCATGATACTGAGTCAGAAGACAGAAGAAAGAAAGAAAGAAAGAAAGAAAGAACGAAAGAGAGAGAGAGAGAGAGAGAGAGAGAGAGAGCGAGAGAGAGAGAGAGAGAAGCGTCCAACCCCCACCCGAAAAATGAAATCCCCCTGCTGCTAATTGCTAATGATATTTTCAAAATGAGGTCAAAGATATTTTTTCTTTTGAATTGATGCCCATTAAAACTGCATATAAACGTAGTGTCCTTTGTTGAAATCAAAGTTGTGAACAAATTTTGCTCATGCTTATTTTTCACATATGATGTTTCCTTTCGATTTTACAATTGCAGTGGTTTTAGCATGCAAATTTAACCCAATTTCATCAAATCCAATTCCAGATGAGCAAATAGCTGGTACGTATAATCTGCAAAAACTTCAAAATGAGTTATAAAAAGATTCAATGCAATCAGGACTTCTGGTGTTTAAGGTGGTACATTCGTGTCGGATGCTTCAATTTACCCCTTCTTTGTCCAAGTTTTAGTGTGAGCTCTTTCTTTCTAAACCGACTTGAATCAATCCGGCTCTTGATATATCTTTAGTTACAAATAATAAAGAAGTTACAGCAACTAAAGCAAACCGATATTTTTTGAGCTCGGAAGGTTTATCAAAGGTAACTTTTTCGATCCTTAGTTGACCATGCGTTAACTCATCGGGGAATTGAGAATCAAATGAATCAGACAAAACTTTAAGCACACGTTCCCAAGTTTTTGGACAGTTTTCAAGCACTTCTGAATGTTCAAGAGACATTTCGTATTGCTTTTGTTTCGTACTTTTGGCTCAAAAATTACGCCATTTCTTAAGGTTAGTTTTATTGTAAATATCTTGCAATTCGGAGCGTGTTTTAAGAAATTTATGAGTCAGCGGCCAAAGTTTTCAGCCAGTTTTCTTGTTCCATACAAACGGATGATTAATCATAGCAATTCTACACTTTTTTCATGATAACTTGACTTGAATGTTGATTTTAGATTAAGAAGTAGACACTTGTTCAGAAGGTGTGGAGGTACAATTCTGTCCGAGTATGAAGTTCTCACAGCTGCTCATTGTCTACAAACAGAAGGAGAGTGGGAGAAACCGAAAGATGTGTACATTGTGTCAGGTACCACAAGTAGATCAATTGAAGTGAACTAAAAAATGACCTACGAGCTGAAAGCTCGGAGGTTGGTCCTTTCATTCGCGGTTAAATAGTCTTGAGTCTTCCTGGCTATAAAAAAAGTTCTGTAAAAATTGCTAGTTAAAAGTTGACGTTTGCCTGGCGAAAAAAAAACCCAGCCCGCGCAAAATGATTCAGTCACTTTTTTTGAACGTCGGAACATGAAAGTGATTCAACTGCAGCTTTTCTTCAAAAAAGTGTTTTTAAAGATTGGGCAGCTTAGGATAGATAATAATGCGCGCAAAATTTCCACTTTTCTAAATGATTATAAGTGGGCTAAATGAGCCAAAAAGCCAAATGAATATTGCTTAAAAAGATGATAAACGCAAACAAAAAGTAAAAGGTTACAAATTTTTAGGCGACACTAAACCCGAAACTCCAGTAACGAAAATTTTGGTGAAGTCGGCCAAGCGACAGTCGGTCAAATATTACACTTATCTGAAACGGTACATAAGATTTGACAGTGGGTACGATTTGGCAAAACTAACCCTCAAGAGCAAACTCAACTATGACAAATATAGACTGCCTTTGAAAGTGTGCAGGGGAAAGATGGGAGAGAGGAACAATGGGTTCCAGACTCGGGCACTGGGCTTGGGATTAACAGATGACAATTTTACTGCTGCATACGAGTTGATGGTATCGTTTGTTTTCTTCTTACTTCTCAGTTGAGAAACAACAAAAATAAGTTTCGACTAACTGCAAAACTCCAATCGTCCTCAGAGCTCTAAAGAGTTGTTTACACAAAATGTAACCGCATATTCAGTTGTACAAAGACTTTGTTCAAATTTGTTTTCGACTGTTTGCTTCGATTTTAATGTGCTTGTCGTTAAATTTTTTTGCCGACTCGACTCAACGTGATTAATTTTATGTCGACTTTTATTTTTAAATAGATGTTTCGATTTGGTAATCGACTTTACATTTCGGCCGGTTCGTTTTATATTTCAAAATTTTTAAATGTTTTTGTATTCAGATTTAAGTTTCCGCCAACTCGACTTTATGTGTTCGCCTTAATATTGAGTTAAGACCGATGTGGTTAACTCATAGAGTAATTTCGTATAGGGTACACCGTCTGCTCGTCACGCTATCTTATTTTCGGCCGGATAGATTCGTGCAACTTCTTAGTCTAATACCGATTCTAATCTTACTCTTATACTTTCTAGTCTCAGGGTGTTTAACTAGTCTCTGCTAGGCTCAATAGATCTAGGGTATACTGGTTTGTTGCGGCTGCTGAAGTTCTCTTGGAGAGACAACTAATTTCTAAGTTAAATTCAAATCTCTCTGGTGCTGAAATTACAAGTAATTTCAGCACTTACAAATAAGTGGGTTGTTAGTTAGATGGATCATGATTGGTTAATATTAAATACTTTACAGTGGTAATATATCTAATTTATCCAATCATAAAATATAGTTTAGATCAGGTTCCACCCATTCGGGTTTTACAGAGTTTTTTAGAATTATCTTTCTGCAATTCAAGGGATGGATGATGAACGTAGGTATTTGGCGAACATCATATTCTTGTCCGGTTCCTCTTGTTATAGAAGTTCCAGGACGCTGGAGTCAGGGACATCAATCGTTGTGTCGTCTTGTGACAACGACTGTGTTTCCCAATGAAATCAATCTGATTTCAAAATGGTTTGCTATGACGGGTTTTTCTGTATTATGTAGAGAACTTGTTTTGTGTTCAACCTCGTCTGGGAATGGCGTGGCGATTGTGTATGGAAGGGATGCCTTGTAACTCGGATCTGTACGTATACTTGAACATCGAGGTGGTCATTGGTCTAGTTCAATGAAGTCCTTTTCTGCGAAGTCAAGTCGTACTCTAAATCCTTTGAGTTGTGATTGTGGACGGCATATCGGTTGTGTTTAGCCAGTCTTGTTCGAGTGTGATGGGATCATTTTGTCTTTGGATGTTCGTCTTTGTTGTTGTGTGTTGATCTATATAGTGCAAGGTATGATTTACATTTTATAAAATTTTATTAGTTCGATTTTTTAATCATGAATTTAGTTAGTTGTTTTCACAAAAACATTTTGTTTTAGTTCGGTTATTTTGAAGAGTTACTCACCCTTGAGTACCTCTTATTAAAAATAGAAGTGTGGTCACAAAGCGTGGATGTAGCGCGGTGGGTTAGGCCGGCTAAAGAGCATGCTCAGGACGTCCTTTCTGGTGGGTTAGGCCAGGAGTGGGAGTATGATTTCGTGCGGTTTCTTTGAGAGGTCCTGTTATGTGATAAAGTTTTATGTTGGGTTTATGTTGGTCTTTCTTATGTTTCTTTGGTTGTGTCCTTTTTTCAAAAATCAAATTGTTTTTGTTATGGGTTTGTCTTGCGACTTTTTTGTGTTTTATGATTTCTTTCTTAGACTTTATAATAGTCTTCAAAAGAATAAATTATCCAGTTTTAAACTGGGTTAATCCGGTTTGGGTACCGTTGGTTTTCTTTTCTTAGTCATGCTGTTATTTTATGATTTGTGGTGTTTAGTAAGCTGCGTTGGTTACTTTGGTTTAGTATATAATTCCTTTCCAACCGGGTTAAAGGAAAGTTTGAATTTTGTTATCGTGTGTTAGAGTTGTAGAGTGTGAAAACTTGAAACTTAAAATCATTATTTAAACAATTCTTCGTGGGCGAGCTGTGCCAGTTTGGATAGAATTCCTGTGTGAGTGAAAGAAAACATCAAAAGGTTAGTACTGCGTTTTCATTTTATCAATTTATTACATAGAATTTCAATTTCACTGCTAGTTTTGGGGGAAATTTAAAGTTATAAATTTTCGTCGTAATTGAATTTACTGCTTTATGGGAAGACAATTTATAAATTAATTTACTACATTTGGTATGAATTCTATCATATTATTTTGTGTAAAATATTAATGAAGTTTAGAAGAATTTTAACAATTTTAACTTTTATTTTTCTTTTCTGTTTTTTGCAGATGATCGTGGTATGAAGACTAAAAATTTAAAAGAAACATGAATAAAGAATGGTTAGTACTAATTTAAATTTATTAGTCAAGAATATTTTAAAATTATACTTACCTTTTGATCGTCTGGGAAAAAGCCGTGGGGAAAGATGTCGTGTACTATGTCCGAATTTGTTAGTATTTTTGCTAGTATGCGAATGATGTTTTTAGTTTGAAGCAGTGGCCAAAGCAATTGAAGTGCTTTAATGGTTTTTAGTTCTTCAGTGCCTACTGCAAACTCATAAGGTGTGTTTTGAATGAGGTTATATATTTTGTGATTATATTTAGTATTGTGAATAAATTCTAATATTGGGATTTCTATAGGCTGGATAAATTCATGTGGGATAAGGAAGGGTCTGGATTCTTCGGCGTTAAAGGTCTTCGTGATGGGACAAAATATAAACATTTGTGTTACTGGGTCATAATTGCAGAGGATGCCGTGGAGGTTAGTATCTTTGATGCAATAGGTGAAATTAAGAAAAAATGGTGAAGTGTACTTCGAGTTAAGAAACTGAAAACGATGGTGTGGTTGTCTTGATGGATTATGTAAATCAAAATGATTTTGTATGAAGCGATAGTATGTATATGTATGAGTCTGTTTCGTGCGTAACATAATGTCGTGTGAACAGTGCAAATCGCGTTCATGTGGTGCAAGGAAGTGAAAGGTTAGTGAAAATAACTGAAATTTTTCTTTAAAGCTTTCGTAAGCTTGAATATCATTGAGTGCTTCAGAAATGATGTGATCATATTTTCTATCAAAAATATTAAGTGTGAATACATATGACGTTTTGATGAAGAATTTTTCTGTTAGTTGTGGGTTAGCGAAGCGGTCGTCATCTAGAAATTTGTCTTGATTAACTCGGATGATATTATGGTCGTAATATTCTATAGTAAATTCGTTAGCTCGGGGTGCAGTGAATGTTTTTAGTGATTTTTTATATCCTATATAAGTAAATTGTCTAAGTGTTAGTGCTGCGGTGAGTCTATATAGCATATCTTTATTCTTTTCTATATCGTTATGAGTACTAGATAGTGGCAGGCAAAGGGGATTAGTAAAATGGTAATATGCTGTCCAGTGAAGTGTGGGCATTAAAACATGTTCATCTACAAAACTACGTGTGTCGTTAGTGTCGTTAGGTGTGTTTAAAGTATATTGTGGGAATGAGGGTAAGGTGATTGCTAGAAAATCTTTCGAGTTGGTGTGGTGTGGGTGATTAATATATTCGCAGGCTGTTCCTGGTTTGGTCGGGAATGGATGGTTCGGGAATTTTCTTTTAAAAGTGCGATAAGCTCGGTGAGTGCTATTCGATGATTCGGTGGATGTGGATGATTGTGCTAATGATGCAGTGTAAGCTGAGGAGGATGTAGGAGTAGGTGGGTTTGAGGATTCTATTGTGGATGAAATTTGATTTATAGTGAGGGTGTTAGGGCGTATTAACTGTTGTTTTAGGGTGATAAAATTATCGAGTTCCTGGGAGATTTGGAGGGTATCTGGAGAATTATTAGATGATCGGTCGGAATGAAATGGAGAATAGGTTGGGGTTACTTGCGAAAAATAAGAAGGAGTGGAAACGGACGGGAGTGGATTATTTGGTGGGATTGGTTGAAAAGGGGGTTTTGAAAAAACTGAGGAGTTGGTTTGAAAATTATTGGATGGAGATGGTTCGGAGTCTGCAAGTTCGTCAGGGGTTTCTATATTAGAGTTATTAAGTTGTGAGATGGAGTATAAAACTGAAATATCTGAATTAGTATCCGAATTCATGCTTGATGATATATTAATAGTTGGAAAACCGGGTGGTGGGAAAGCAAAAAGTGGGATTATTGGGATTGGAGTGTGGAGGTTGGTTGGATGGGAATTTGAGCGGTGTAGGGATCCAAGTTGTCGGCTCATCGTGGGCTAAAAAAATGATTATTTTGAGACTGAAAAGCGGTGGTATGGGGTTGTTCTATAATTGGTTCATGTGTATTATTTTGTGAATGATGTGTCATTATATGTTGTATGGGACTTTGAGATATGTTTGGTCTAAAATTTGGGTTATGTGTTATTTCTAGGTTTCTGAAATTACGTGGGACTAAGGATAATGGATGGTTATGTGGTAGGGGTGGCAACTGTGGTGCGGTACTTGTTACTTCTATGTTATTATGTTCTTCGTCATATGTGTTGTCTTGTCGCTATTTTTGTGTTATATTCTTTTATTTGTGCGTCTAGAAGAATTTTGTTTATTGATGATGAAAAAATTCCAAAAAACCTGCAAATAGTATGCGTGCTACACTTGCTTGTCTATTTACTTGTGTTTGTATAGCGCATGTGTTATAGATTCCTTTTAAAAGTGAAAAAAGAAATCCTATAAAGTTAAACATTGCGTATAGGATAGTCAATTTTTCTAAGATGTAATAGGGCCACAATAGAAAATCGAGAATTTCATTTTTTAAGGTAACAAAGCTCAAAATATTGATAGGCGAATTATCTTGTGGTCTGTATTTTTCACCGTTTAGATATATATAGTCTTTAATGTCTTTAAAATATCCGCTATAATTTTGTGTATAAATATCTGCAAATCCTGCGGTTTCGGCAAGTTTGCGTAAATTTTGGTCAATTGATTGTCTTTGTATAGTGTCCATTTGTGTTAATAATTCTTGGAATTGTTGTGCTCCAATGTGGTGTTGGATATTTGATTTTGAATATATTCCAATTGATTGTAAATCAATATTTGGATTA